GAGAGAAGCTGGACAGTGGGCCTCGCCATGCAGGCCGGGCCGAGCAGGCTGTCCAGAGCCCACGCCCCCGTGCTGGAGCCTCTGCAGCCTGAGGTGGGACAAAGAGGGGGATCCTGCCAGCCTTCATTCTCTGGTTCCCATCAGGTACAAAATGGGGCGTGTGCGTGTGAACAGCCTTCCGTGAGCTCCGGACAGACGCAGCAGGATGCCGTGTGGACGGGGAGAGGCATGTGGCTGCCTGTCCCTTCCAGCTCTCTGGTCCCCTTTCACAATGGCGTCGCGTTCGTTGACCATCAGACGCAGCAAGTTAGCAGGAAGCAGACTGAGAAACGCCAGGGCCCTGCGCACGAACCGCAACGCCGGTCCGAGGTCCTCTGCAGCTGGCCTGTTCCTCGCCGCCCAGGAGTGCTGGGAGGGAGGAAAGAATTATCCCGAAGGGGGGATACACATGAGGGGTGTACATGGGGCCAGGGTGTGACCAGCCTTTTCTGTAAAGGGCCAGAGAGTGAATATTTTCAGGATCATCGTCAGTGGTCTCTGTTGCAGTGATTTGGGCCATGTCAGTGCGTCAACACATCAGTGTAGTTGTGTGCCAATGAAACTTTATTTACAAAAACAGGTGATGAGGCAAATTAAACACACATACACACAAAGAAAAACAACATCAGGAGCTCAGGTGCCCTGTCCTGCACCATCTTTTGCTGATCCCGGAGCCAGCAATTCAGCACAACATGGCTGCTGGTCCCTCTGGTCATTCTGAAAGTGCTTCCTGAGTGCCCACTGTGCGCTCGGCCTGTCGGTGTCAGGGCGCAGAAGCCCTGTCTCGGACAGAGGGCATCTCTTCTCTGCTTAGCAAATGTGTTTGCAAGATGGTGAGTGGATTTTGTTTACACACAGGAAGAAAAGGAGGGTCCAGCGACGAGAGGGGCTGCTGGGAACGTCCCCCACCCCCATAAGTCATTCGAGTCCTTTCGCAGCCCTCACCCGGCATCGGCATCCGAAGTCCCCCCAGCAGCTGACCTCGCTCCACTCAGCCTCTCAGCAGAGGGGCCCTGTCCAACCTGCCCCCCCACAAGTGCACTCTGCTCTCCCCCGCGCCCCGCAGCCTGACCAAGCCCAGCTCACAGCCAGGAGGGTTGCCCGCATGCCCTGCTGTGCCCTGCTGCGGTCCACCCCAGAGCCCTCCCACTGCCTCGTATTACCGTCCTCTCCCCCATTCCAACTCCACCCCCTTACCTGCCCTTGCCACCCAGCTGTTCTGCATTTCATTCTCCCGCAGCGTCCTGGCTCAGCGTGCGGCCTCCTGCCCTCCTCTCCACCAGGGCCGTGGTTTGGCTTCCCCGGGCGCCCTGGGTAAGTGTCCTGGGACACGTGGTTGCCATGGTTACCACTGTCAGGTTCTCCTCCCTTGAGTCCAGTGTACAGATGAGCAGAGGCTCTTGCTGAATTCCTTTTTTTAAGATTTATTTTTATTTTATTTATGCATGCAAGAACTAGGGTGCAGACTCGTGGTGGGGTGACAGGGTGCACCAGAGACAGAGTGGGGAGCAGAACAGGTGGATCCACTGAAATCCACTGCTGAGGGGGGCAGCGGGGAGACAGGAGAGGTCTGCCGCGCCCTGTGGGTCCCTCCCTGGCCGGGGATCGAACTCACACTGCAGTGGCTAAGGATAGTTTCATAGTGCTGAGACTCACCCCTGTGCCACCCCTCTTGCTAAATTCTTCCTGGCACCCTCAAGGTGCCCAGGGCTACCCATTACCTAAGGGGGAAACCAAGGCTCAGAGAGCCTGGAGGAAGCTCTGGGGACTTCCACAGTGGCCAAATTGCTTTCTATATGCACCCTCCCTGGATGGGGACCCTGGAGGCATGAGGGCCGCAGAGATGGGCAGAGGCTCAGGCCACCGGCTTTGACTTCCCCGTGACGGGCACGGGCGCGTTCCGTGTCTCCACAGGAGAGGCGCTCCCTCCCACATGTCCGCCTCTGGCTCTCGGCCAGGCCTTTGGGTACAGGTCCAGGAGTCTCAGCCCCACCCTGACAGAAGCTGGTACCAGGTTAGGCTGTTTATTCTTTTCTTTTCTTTTCTTTTTAAGATTTATTCATTTATGCACACAGAACTGGGGAACCAGCCAGAAATGCAGGAGCGATGAGAGGATTCACCAGAGATAGAGTGGGGAGCAGAACGGGCAGATGGATGACCCCCACTGTGATTTCAGGGAGCAGGGGAGACAGGAGGGGTCTGCTGGGTCACCTCCCTGGCAGGGGGCGAACACGTGCTGAAGCTGCTTCACAGAGCTGCGTGTCACCCGCTGTGCCACCGGGAGGGCCTGGCTGTGTACCCTCAGGGTGCTGTTGTCTGTCTGGCAGCGTGAAGCTCGTGCTGGGAGTTGCTGGGGGTGAGGGCGCAAGGAGAAGCTGCCTGCCGCCGCCGGCCCTCCCCGACCTCTTTCACTGTCTTGGTTCTTGGTGTGGCAGACAGAGGGTCAAGGAGGTGGACCAGTGCCCTGACTGGGCCAAGCTCACTCTAGTGACTCCAGCACTAAGTATGGGGGTTGTTTGCGAGCCTTTGGCCTTTTCTCGGCCTCCGTGGACACCCTGGAGGTGCAGCTTCTGCTCCAGCAGCTGCCTGTTTCACAGGCTTAACTCAGCTCGTTCATGGACAAGCACCGGTGAAGGAGAAATCAGGGTGCTGGGTGGCTCTCACAGGGTGTCACCCCAGGAAGGGCACTGGGCCTCCCTGGGCCTCTGTACCATTGCCCGTCAGGCAGGGGCGGCAGGAGCCTTGCAGGGGAGACAAGTGTCACTGCCCTAGGTGCTGAGATGGGCCGGGGCCAGCGCACCCCCTTTTGACACCAGTCGGGTCCCCGGTTCTCCCACAAGATCGAGTCCTTCAACAGCCACTGGTGCTAAAACCTCCCATTTCACAAATCCCAAAGGGCAAGGAAGGAAAACTGAGCGCAAGCGGGAGCGTGTTCGGAGGGAAGGGGCCTGGCGCATCCCTCTCCCTGGCCTCATGACCCTGACCCCCAGCCCAGGCTGGGCCTGGCTGCATGGTGCGTACCCCAGAGTCAGGACCCCCCACTGCCCCGCCGAGCCATGGGGGCCTTTGCGGCAAGAGGAACAGGGGTCTGGCGAGGGGCATGGCTCTGTTTGCAGATCTTCAGAATCCAAGCCCAGCTGATAGAAGCCCAGGAAAAGAAAGTCCACGACCAGCAATTATCTCAACAAATAGACCCCGACGGATCACAGCCAAGTGTTCAGTGGAGGGCGCTAGGCCATGGCTGCACTGTCCGTGCCTGTCTGGCTGACAGGCAGGCCCGCCCTACCTCGCCGTCCCTCCTGGGAGAACACCCAGGATTCCAGTCTGGGTGCAGCTCCCCTCCCTGGGGCTCAAGTTGGGAAATGGGAACACTGACCGCCCCGGCCCCCACCCTGGCTACTCCTCTGGGTATGGGGCCCCTTGGTTATTTGGGACCAGGAAAGACGGTTATTTATTTCACAACTGCCCATCAGGCAGAAAGGAAATGGGACCAGGCCTGGGTAAGTCAGCTCCTGCAGAGATAACGGTCTGAGGCTGGACCCTAGACCAGACATAACACTGACGTCCTCGGTTGTCCTGAGGCCTCCACAAGGCACCAGCAGCCTCAGGCAATTTCATACCAGTGCCAGGGACACGCGACGGGTGGAGCGAGCCCAGGGCCTCAGTGTGACCGGCAGCCCAGTGATCCGGAGCAGATGGGAGCTGCCTCGTGGTCTCCTGGGAGAGGACGTCCACCACAGCTGTGGGCTGCCCTGGGGCCACTTGGCCCATGCCCGCCGAGGCAAAGTCCACCTGCCCTCCGGGTTCCCGTATCCCACACAGTCTCGGGCTGTGGCTTCCTGGGGCTGCTGCAACAAGTCACCACAAACAGCGGCTTAGGGGACAGTGGCTGTTATCCGACCCGCGGGCCTCACTGGGCAGAAATCTGGACGTTACACGTCCACAGGGCAGCCCCTTCTGGGCCTGCCTGACCCACCCCAGCCTGACCTCTTCGCTGCAGGCCAGTGTCTCAGTTTCCTGGGCTGTGAGGTGGGGACAGAGATGACACAGCAACCGACACAGGGCTCCGGCTGGCTGGGGCCGGGCCAGAGTGTCCTTTACGAGCCCCGGCTCTGGGGACGTGACCCCACCCAGGCGAATCCCTGAGATGGGAGGTCCTGGGTCCCTGGCCAGTATCCTCACGAGGTCCGCACAGGGGGAGGAAGGTCGGGCAGGGAGAGGGGAGGAGGCTGCGAGGTGCCCAGGAGGACGGGGCAGGGCTGAGCCACCCCAGGGGCTGGAGCAGGCCGGAGACGGGGCCTGGAGCTCCGCGGCGTGAGGGTTTCGGCCCCCCGGGCTCAGCCCGGGAGACCTCGGGGACTAGGACAGTAAATCTGAGTTGCTGAAACCTTCATGTGGTGGTTCTCTCGGCAGCCCCCTGTGGCCATCGCTCCAGCTCACCAGACTGTCCCCGGGGCCCCAAATAGGCTAGCGCCTGGGGGCGCCTTTGTCTCCAGCTCCAGGGTCTGGGACACTCGGGGCTCTCGGGGCTCTCGGGAGCGCAGCAAAGGCGCCCCCGGGCTGCCCTGCTCCCCGTCCGTCCTCACAGTTCTGATGGCAGCACTAGATTTGCAGGGAGCGGTCTGGGGTTCAGTCACCTGCAGGGTCCGGCCAGACCCTCCGAGGGGAACCGGCACCCGCACCCCTGCGAGGCAGCTGCTGTAGGAGCACCCGCCTGCACTCTGTGGGTAAACTGAGTCACGGAGCGGGTAAGTGACCTCTGGGGTCGCAGTCTGGTGGCTCCCAGAACCCCACACAGATGTGACCCACAAGTGGAAGGATTGTCAGGTTCCCCAGAAACACCTGCTCGGAACTAGGCATCGCTGGGGCCAGGCGGGGGCCCCCGACCGCAGGCCGCAGCGGGGTTCCCCTTCCCAGCCGTTGGGGAGTGTGGGGCCACAACCCTCAGAGCTCCTGAGAGACACCAGCCTTCCACGGCCATGGCGCCCGGGGCAGAGGGCCGCGCCCACCTGCTGACCACCGTGGTCTCTGCCCTGATGCTTCTCACAGAGCCCCCAGGTGAGGACCCCTAGCGACGCCCACCGGCTACCCTCCACCCAGAAACCCACCCTGTCTCCCCTCCCAGTCCCCCCACTCAGGCACAGGCCACCTGGGTGCGCCTGCTCGGAACACCTCACCCGGGACCTCCATGTGACCCCCCGCCCAGGAGCGCCTCTTGGGCACCCGGCTCAGCCAGACGTGCACATAAGGACCCAGCCAGGTGCCCCTGGGACCATCCCAGAGCCCTACCTTGGCGCCACCTGGTACAGCTAGTCAGCCCTCTGTGGCTGCTCGCTGGGGCCTCGGCAGGGATCTGTGGAGCCGGCCGGCCAGGCCAGCCCAGGTGTCCGGGCTCTGGAGGCCCTCAGCAGCACGAGGCGTGTCCCTGGGCCCCTCGCTCGCTCCTGTCTCCTCTCATCTGCCTCCCTCCACCTCTGCTTCTCCCCCTCCAAACCCCCCGTCCAACAGACCCACCTACCCACGCCGTTCCGACCGCACCCGGCCGTCTTCCTGTCCCCTGACAGGGTCCCCTGCCCTTCCTGCAGGCTGTTGGGGGACCTGGATCATCGGGGGCGTCGAGGTGACCCCTCACTCCCGGCCGTACATGGCTTCCCTGAGATTCGAGGGCCAGCACCACTGTGGGGGCTTTCTGCTCCACCCCCGCTGGGTGGTCTCTGCTGCCCACTGCCTCAGCAACAGGTGAGTCCACCTGGAGGCCTCTTCTGCCCCAGGATGCAGCAGCGGGGGTGCAGGAGGGGACCCCTGTGGCAGGGACGGATCCCAGGCTAGGGCATGGCAGGAAGGGACGGGGGACCCCGCAGAACACAGCTGGTGCTGGATTTACTTAACAGGGAAGCAGGGGTTGGGGGGCAAGAGCAATAAGGAAGGAGAAGGTGCAGTGAGATTAGGGGGCAGGACCGTGGCCTCAGCTGTACTGTTATGACAGCGACTAGCATTGGCACAGCATCCAAGTGACTGGCGCTGTGACCCCGAGGTGGGAAGCGCCACCAGTCCGCGTCCTCGCCACCCTCGGCGTATCCACACTCCTCAGGCTCCGCAGTACAACAGCAGAGTTCAGCACTGTTGGGGTAACAACAGGCAGCCACCGCCCCGGGCTTGCTGAGGGTGCCTGGGCCGCTTCTCCCAGGGGAGACGAGCGCAGGGCAGGCAGCCCGCACCCCACTCTGCTCCCGTCCCGCAGAGACCCCCGGACAGGCCTAGTGGTGCTGGGAGCCCACAGCCTGCAGGCGCGGGAGCCCACTCAGCAGGTGTTCGGCATCGCGGCTGCCATCGGGCACCCCGACTTCCAGCCCAGCATGCACACCAGCGACATCTGTCTGCTGCAGGTGAGCTCCGGGGGCACCGAAGCAGGTCTGGCCTACACCTGGCTGCCCCACATGACCTGCCACATGTAGAAAGGGAGGGAGGGCTCCTGTGAGCACCTGAGACAGGGCCTCTCCCACGGTGACACGAGGCTTCCCCTCACCGTTCAGCGTCACCTCCAGAGAGCTCCGGACTGCCCAGCCGCCCCCCCCCCCGCGCCATCGCTCCTGTCCAGGAGCGCCCCGCCCTCCCTGGTACCTCGGGCTTCTTCACCTTGGCTGTTGCTCAGCCTCCCCCGGGGGTGTGTGGGGGGCTTCTGCCTCATTCATGGCTGTTTGTGGCATGCAGCAGGCACAATATTCGTGCTGAAAGGGAATCTGAGTCTAGGATGCTTTACGTCCCTAACGCCAGCACGTTGGCGTCCCTTGGCGGGTTCCGGAGTCTCTGGGTGGGGACATCTCCTCCCATGTGAGGGTCCCCACCTGTCACACACATTGAGACCATTTGGACCCGCACAGTCCCTCCTGCTGGGGGCACCCCAAGTTCAATTCAGGTACCATGGGGGCCTCCCCTCCACTTTAATGGAAGAACTGCCCTCCACATGTGCTAAAAATCGAAGCGGAGAGACATCAGCCTGCAGAGACGGGTCCCTGGGCGCAGGCGGGCGGTTCCTGTGGCCAGAGAAGGGGGCGCCAAGGCCAGCCGCCAAAGCTTGGGAACTCTGCTTCTCTGTGACACCAGAGCCTGGGACCCACTGCTCCAGTCACCCCGCCCACTCTAGACAGGAAAGCTGAGGCTTGCGGGGATGAGGGAGGAGAGCGGGAGGGGTGGCGAAACCAGCCACCCATCCCATGAGCGTGCTGAGCACCGGCTGTATGTCCCCGGGGCACGGGGGACACAGGCCATGGGCAGCCCTGGCACTGGCCCTCACAGAGCTCCAGGCTGGCAGTGGCAGCTGCACAAGCTGGACTCGGCGGGGGCATGTGGGCCTCGAGGAGGGGGTAGCCGGCCTGGGACTCTGGGAAGGCTTCAAGGAGGAGGCGGTGCCCACAAACTGAGCCTGAAGCTTTGGGTGGCACAGGCAGTACAGTGCGGGCCCCGGAAGTGGCACACCGGCTTGGTTGGAAGGGAGGGCCGAGTCGTGCGCTAACAGATCTTATCCATAGGCGCCAGGGAGCCACGGAGACAGAGCAGGGAAGGGGGTGCGGTGAGAAGGACCCGGGGAGCTGGGGGGCCAGAGCCCTGGTCTGGTGGCCGTGACGTGGGAAGGGGCCGCGCCTTCTGATGAGGACAGCTGCCGTGGTTTTTCTCCACTAGACCAAGAAAAGCGCGGAGGTCATAGGTAAACTGAGGCAGAAACCGCCATGGGTGACAGAGGATGGCCCTAAATGCAGCCTCTCCCTGCAGCTCAATGGCTCTGCCACCCTGGGCCCAGCGGTGGGGCTGCTGAGGCTGCCGCGTAGGGGCGCCAGGCCACCCCGGGTCGCGACGCCATGCCGGGTGGCCGGCTGGGGCGCCGTGTCTGACTTCGAGGAGCCACCGCCTGGGCTGATGGAAGCCAAGGTCCAAGTTCTGGGCCTGGACGTCTGCAACAGTTCCTGGAGCGGCCAGCTGCGCCCTGCCATGCTCTGCACCCGCAGTGGGGACAGCCGGCGGCGCGGCTTCTGCTCGGTGAGACATTTACTCTCCCGCCGGCTGTGGGGGGACCGGCGGCCAGAGAGGGCCGGGGCCAGGGAGGCTGTGTGGAGTCAGTGGTGGCTCACCTCTGCCCACCACCGGTGCCTCTTTCCTAGGGTCAGACCTGATGCCAGACGAGTCCACGAAAGGACCGAGGAGGGGGAGAAGGGCAGGCAGGGATTTTCGGATCGGTGTCCACGGAGGACTCAGAGCTGACACTTGAGGAATCCCTGAAAGCTGAGGGAGGCGTGCAGGGCAGACGGCCACTGGGCTGCGTGCCGGCTGCGCTCAGCTGTGCGGGCTGTGCACTGCGCCAGTCTTGTGCGCGTCTACAAGCAGTGCCCAGGAGAGGGCAGTAACGGGTCTCAAGGGTGGAGGCCGAGGCTGGACAGCTCTGGCTCCAGGAATTGTACCAAGGCAGTGCGGCCAGAACTGAGGAGGGTGCGGGGCCACCAGAAGGCAAATTCCAAAGTCAGAGGGGAGGAGTTTAGTCTTGCAGTGCAGGAGCCCTGGGAGCCATGGGAGGCTTGAGGCCGGGAGGGTGGAGGTCAGGTGGCCATCTGGAGGCTCCTGCTCAGGAGATGAGGCCCAGGGAGACACTGAGATCTGTCTGCTCCCTTTACCCCCAGGCAGACTCCGGGGGACCACTGGTGTGCAGGAACCGGGCCCACGGCCTCGTCTCCTTCTCTGGCCTCTGGTGCGGTGACCCCAAGACCCCTGATGTATACACACAAGTGTCGGTCTTCGTGGCCTGGATATGGGAAACAGTTCGAAGAGGCATTCGGCCACCCCCCGGCCCCTCACCCCGGACCACGGGGGTCCCTGCAGGAGGGCCCTGACCCCCCGCCCCACCGGGTGTGCAGGTGAGATGACCAGCGGCCCCAGCCCAGAACATTCGGCGGCTGGGGCTGGGGTCTGTGAGCCCCCGAGTCCTGGGAAGCCTGAGGTATGGGGCATGTTTTCCAAACAAAATTACCGAAATAGCTGAATAGAATGTAACTGACCAAACCCTGGAGTCCACCACATTCCTTGGAGTCACAGGAAGCTTGGTTGCTTCCCCATGTGGCCCCCCAAATTTGCTCCGTTTCTGGTCTACACGGAGGCCCTGGGGACCTGCGGCCCGCTCCACTCCCCCACTCCCCCGTGACTTACCAACCCCCCCCGCCCCGCGCCCCACACCCAGCACCGCGGCCAGCTGCTGCCCCTGTTCCTCCCTGCACCAGCGAACCACATTCAAGTGCAGATGGGGAAACTGAGGCTGGGAGAGGGTCTCTGTCCCCAGTGTGGAATCTCACACCGGCCTGGGTCCAAGCGAAGCCGTCCTCATCCTCTGAAAAGCGCCGAGGGCAAAGGCAGCCGGCACGTTCCAGGGACAGTGGCCTACGCTGCCAGGTGGCCACTGGCCATTCTGCCCCTTCCACGCCAGGCCTCTGCTTCTGGACCCCAAGCCAGGGCTCTGCTGGGGCGGCCCGAAGTCACTGTGATCCCATAAAGGCATTTTCCCAGCTGCCCTGGCCCTCTCTCTAGCTACTGCCCCCTGCCCAGAAGTGGACGCTGAGGCACAGGCCGTTCGTGGTTACACCGTGGTCTACCCTGAGTGCTTCCAGAGCGCCCCCACCTGCCAACAGCACCCCAGGACCCAGGCCAGATACCCTGTTCCATGCCCTGCTCCTCCCACAGACCACCCCCTCCCTCAGAGAAAGGCGGGACAGGCCTGGACGCTGCGCAGTGGCACCGACAGTCTTTATTTCTTTGGTGAAGCAGGACCCCAAGGGGAGGCTGGTTTGTGGGCGGTTTGGGCGAACCCACCTACTCAAGGCCACTTTTCAGTCGCACAAGTAAGGCACTTTCTGGAGCTGGGGAAGGATCAGCATAATTGTACCCCGAACCCCAAACTCAGGGAGCTTGGTTGCTTCCCCATGTGGCCCCCCAAATTTGCTCCATTTCTGGTCTACACGGAGGCAACCTCACAATAGAGGGGGGCCGGCCGAGGTGGGTGTGGACACCCCGAGCATTGCTGGTGGGTGAGGAGCTGGGGGCGGGGTGTAGGTCAAGCTGCATGGGACCCAGGGGTCCCGTGTCTGGAGCTCCCCTGCGGGCAGGGCAGCAGGCATCTGTGTGCCACTCATACACAGTTCCCTATGCCAGGTAGGCAGTAGGCCTTGGCGTCGACATTCCATCCCCGGCCAGTGGGTGAGCAGGGCTGATGGGCCCCACATGGTCCCACGAAAACTGGACTTGTCATGGGATAAAGGGGCCCAATGTCCGTGTCCCCAAGTCCTGTCTTTGTACCAGGCTCTTCCTGTTTCAGACAGGACAACCCTGGGCATAGTGCCGATTCTGGGCAGATACCGGCACTGCACTTCCGAGGCTGAGTTAGAAGGTACAGATAGCAACCCCCTCTTTGGGGGGAACAAGCTGGTCCTCAGGGGTCAGTTCTTAACAGGGAAAGGGGAAAAGAAAACCCCCAGAGTTCCTGGGCTGGTAGGGGGCAGTGGTTGCTTCCTTGGGGTCTTAGTATGTTCCCAGGCTCTGGCCCTCCTCATCCCTGGCCCAAGGCTCCTGCTCAGGAAGACGTCATTACTTACTGGGAGGGAAACCCTCAGTCCTCCGCTGACAGGATAAATAACAGTTATCCCTGAGGGAGCAGACACCTGGGTCCTCCGGGATAGTAGGGTGTCTGGGGGCCCCACCCACCAACCCTGCTCGCAGGCCTCCTCCTCCATTCTAATAGATCTCCATGAGGCACCAAAGGAACCAAGCTCTGAGGAGTGTCTGTGGACATAAATTAGACTCTGCTGAGGCAATAAATAAAACGGGGAGGCCTGGAACGCCAGGTCCAGGCCGGCCACGCGCCATCACACGAAGTTCTCCTCCTCCTCCTCCGACTCTGCGGCTACTGGTTCCGGGGTGCCTACAGAAGTGGGGGTGACGATAAGAGAAACGGCTAAGAGAAGGCTGGGGGCTGGGCTGCCGCTGCCCTCCCCAAGGGGCTTGCTGGACCCTGAGCCACACCTGCGCAGCTGCCCGGGTGGCGCACGCCGATGGACCGGCCCAGGAAGCAGGTGGCCTGGCGCAGGTGGCACGAGGACATATAGGTGACGTTGTTATTGCCGCAGAGCTCCTGGCCGGGGCTGGAGGGCACGGGACAGGGCGCCGCGCGACACACCACGCAGTGCGCGCTGCCCGTCTGGTCCACCACGCACGACTGCGGCCGCAAGCAGACAACGTGCGCGCACGACTCTGCGGGGTGGGTGCGAGGGGGGGTCAGGCACGGCTCCCGTCGGACCCGGAGCCCCGCCCCAGCCCCGTCCTGTCCAAGGTGCCCAGAAAGAGCCCCCCTCAAGCCCGGTCCGCGCCTATTCACGCTCAAGCCCCGCCCCTCCGACCGTGAGCCACGCCCCTTCGGTTGTAAGCCCCTCCCCTCAGGCCGTAAGCCCCGCCCCTCGAGCCCCACCCACCAGAGTCCCACCCCCCCTCTACACTCAAGCTCCTGTCACGTCCCCGTATCTCTCACCCCACGTGAGCCCCAGAACCCCTCCCTTTCCAAACGTCCACTGTACTTTTCCAACGCAACGCCACGAAAGACCCAAGTCAATCTACCCCACTACCATTAAGCCCCGCCCAAACAGCGAGACGGAGTGGGCACGCTAGACTGGAGCTCCGCCCCCGCGTAGTGCGACTGCGCGCCAGTCCGTGACGGGGGCGGGGAACTACACTCCTCCCACAGGCCCCGCCCTCACGTTCGCGAGAGCGGCCAATCCGGGATTCCGAGGCCCGAGCCAGGCGGTAGCCCCGCCCCTCCACGCCCTGCGGTCCCGCCTCCCGGACGGCCTCGCTCCGCCCCCCAGCCCCGCCCCGACGTACTGCGGCAGCGACCCCGGTACATGACGCGCAGGTCCGGGTGTCCGCGGCAGCGCGCCGCGCGCAGCTCGCACTCGTCTCGGTAGGTGGCGCCGTCCGAGCCGCAGACCTGCAGGCTTGCCGGGAGTCCGGTGCAGTCGGGCGCGCACTCGCAGCGTGGGCGGCCCCCCACCATGCGGCACGCCTTGCCGGGGCCGCACTTCACGCCTTCGCACGAATCTGCGGACACAGGATACACGCGCGTGGGCGAATTCGGGGTCCTAGGAACCCCTCGGCGCCCGCGCCCTCTGTTCTCCGAGAGCCGGGGCCGGACAGGAGGGGTCATTCAAGGTCGAGGGTCGGGGCGCCTGGGCTAGGGGTTCGACTCTGGGTGCGTGGTCCGTTAGGGCAAGATTCAGGTAAGGCCCGGGTGGACCGCGAGTCGGGGCTGCGTCTCTGCAGAGATGGGGTTCCCACCCGGAATCTGGGGCTCAGGGACAGGCTGCCAGCCCCTAGCTCTGCTCTCTCGCCAAAGCTCGGCTTCCAGCTCGGGGCTGACATCTGTTCCCTGATTTACGCGCGGTTCTGGGAAGGCTGGCTGGCGGCCGGGGCGGCAGCAACCGGAGGTGGAAGTGGGAACCCCACCCGGCCCAGGCTCCAGGTTTGTTCCCTGAGGCTGCCAGGACCTCCCTGGAGGAGGCGTCCCGCAGAGGGCCGGGTAGGCCCGAAGTTCATTTCCTAGGGAGGGGGCCTCCTGTAGCCAAATGGGGGTTCTCTGTACTCATCCCCCCCAGTTTTCAGGTAAGGATTCAGGTCTGGCTGGGGGCTGTCTCAGGGGTCCAGGGCCCCTCAGGTCCCCAAGTAAACAAATGTAAATGAGCTTTCACTCCTGAGCCACTCATCACCCCTCAGGCTGGCCTTTGAGCCATCCTCCCCCCACCCCACCGCCAGCCCCCAGGCCCCCTGGCTGCATTCTGTTGCCATTGAAGAGGGGGAAACAGGCTCAGCCACAGCTCTCAGTGGAGGAGCACCAGCACCTCCCGGGAGAACCCCAGACCGAGCCCAGTGGAGCCCCAGTTCTGTTGCATGTGCTTGAGGACCGATTCTGAGCTTAGAGTTTGCTTCCAGCCTCAGTTTCCTGCGCTTAGAATGGAGCTGGTGGGGGAAGGGGGCATGACAGGGTGAGCAGACGCTCTGCGAGAACGCCCCAGATCCCCCCTTCCCCTCGCAAGGGCATGTGGGTTGCACCTGGGCCCCTACTGGGAGGGCGCCTCCCACGCGGCCCCCCTGCACTCACATCTGGAAACACTCCACCCGGTGGCTTCGTGCAAGCAGAGCGGAAGTGGGGTGCCGCGTCCCCATCCCCAGGGCCAGATGAGGTGTGCGTGTGTGGGAGGGTGGGGCCCTGGACCGCTGCGTGCTGAGCCAGGCCCTTTGGGAGTCTGTCCTCCCAGAAGCCAGAGGAGGTTCTGGAGGGAGCTGGGACACATGGCAGTGAGTTGAGGACCACCCAGCTGGGCTGATCTGGGATTAGTCACGTGCCACTGGCCGGCCAGGCAGCCTGGCCTTGGGTTTGCAGTCTGGCCCTCTCCCTGATCTCCTTCCCTTGTCCACCCACGAGCGCTTTGGTTGATGCTCACCCCCACCCCTTCTCCAGGGGTGAACACCTAACCACACCCCACCACCCTGTCTCCAGTGCCTGCTTCCTTCCAGGCATGCCCATGTGTCCACGCTGGGTCCCACTCAGGTTCTGCCCCCACCATGTGGCGCAGGGGCGTTCCCAGCCCTTACTCCAGAACAGAAAATACATTCAGCCTTCAAAGAGCTCCGAGTTTGACGGGGCTCTGGCATTTCTCAGAGCATGGCGCAGCGGGCACAGGAGCGCTGAAGCTGCAGCTGTGGCCCTAGCACAGAGCCCCGGAGGCTGCAGGGCCAGGGGCAGATAGGACATCTGGGGAACCCGAGTGGACGCTCAGACCAGAATGGCCCGGGGAAAGTCCGCCTCCCTAGGACTTAGGTGTGAGTGGGGTCCTTCCAGGTTCAGCGCAGGGGCCGCGACCATCCAGGGAGAGGGCTCGGCAAGAGCCACGGCCTGGGGATGGAACAGAGCTGGGGCGTCCCAGAGCTCCGGATCCCAACTGGGATGGCTCAGGCCTGGAATCTGGAGAGGCCCGACCCCCTCTGGCGCTGGGTTTCCCGGCCAGCTGCCCTTCCAGGCAGCCTGGGCTGCTCCCCGTATCCCGAGAACAGGCGCTCACCGCCAGTCACGGCGACCATCCTGACCTGCGGCCACGGCCCCAGGCTCTCACCTTTGCAGGGAAGGCAGTGGACGAGCCCCAAGAAGCCCAGGAGGCTGATCTTGTTCCCTGGGTGGGTGAAGTTGGACCAGGCGGTGTCGATGTTGCCGGAGGCACAGCACTCGGCCTGGCTGACTTCGGTCTTCAGCACCAGGCTGCAGGTGGCCTCACGCCCCTGCTGGAGCCAACACACTCCACCTGCGGACAAGGTGGGCGGCTCCTACAGGGCCCGCAAGTGCCATTCCTGCCACTCGGGCCAGACCCCGTTTCTAGCCCCCAGCCCTCACCAGACCCCGCTTCTAGCCCCCGGCCCTCAGAGATGCGTGCAGCTGGTGCTCGGTAAAGATGGAGGCCGGGATCTTCCCTTCAGGGCTCGCTCGGGAAGGAGGGGCAGAGCCCTGCACAGGTGTCTCCACCCTGGCTCTGGATCCTGCCGGCATCCGCGCTAAGACTTCTCCCCCACACGCACAGGCCCCACTGCCAGCCCAGCCATCTGGGAAATGTGCCCTTTGCTCCATGCCCCCAGGCCCAGGTCTGGCATCCTGCCCAACAAGTCAAACAGCCTGTGGCAGGAGAGCGCCAGGTGCGGGTGTGTCAGGGTCTGTGGCCCCAAGATGCCTCTCCTACCTCTGCCCTCTGTTTAGACAGCACCCGAGGGCATGCAGAGCCCCCCTCCCCTGGCAGGCCCCCCTTCCCCTGACTGCCTCTTACTCACTCCAACTTGGGAACATTCCCCTTGCATGAGCTCACCATCTCCCCGGGGATGCAGGCCTTCGGGGAGGGGGCTCAGCGCTCCCCTTGGTGTGGGGCTGGAATGGGGCTGGGGGTGGGGTGGGGGGCAGGTGACCCTGTAGCTTAACCCTTAAGTGGGGGCAGGCATGGCCACAGGCCCCACCCCGGGGAATACGCTGCTTTCCTGGCACAGTGTTGACTGCCTTCTGTGGCCCAGGTCTGGGGCCCAGCGCCTTGGCACCCGTCTTCAAAGAGGGGAAACCAGGATGTTACTTGCCTGGCGTCTCCCACAAGTGGCAGATCAGAGATTCCAACGACCCACTTGCCTAAGCCGGACCTTGGAGGGTCTGAGACCCTGGCCGGAGGTCCTGGGGTCAGCCCCCCAGCCCGGCCTCTGGGGCATCAGGGCCTACAGGGTCCACACTGTGTCCTGGTCTTGCGGCTGGCAAGCCCTGTGGCCTCTGACTTGGTTTCCCTGTCTGGAAATGGCCTGCGAAGAGCACCGTGCGGCTCGGCGGGTGCATGAACTCGAGAAGGGAAAGCGTGCGGCGTCAGCAGTCGCTGTGGCTGCTGCTCTTGACAGCGACAATTTCAAGTCACATCTGCTCCTTTGACCTCCCGTGTCCCTTTTTCCGGCCCCTTGGGCCTGGGTTAGAGGAGCCCCAAGTCCTCCTGAATTCAACCTGCAGCGGGCTAGTCCCCACCCTCTGACCCCCACTTGCCGCTGCGGTGCCCCCAACATCACCCCCTGGCCTGCATTCCTGGCAGGCCCACGTGGGTGGCCCACCCTGCCCTCCCCTTCCGACTGCCCCACTCACCGGGCGCGGGTTCCCCCGAGCCCATGGAGCCCACGAAGCCCAGGGCCCAAGCCAGGGCACCCCAGGGCAGTGGCCACAGCGGCCCTGGCGCCCTAGGACTCATGGCGAACGCAGAGATGGCGGTAGCCCGGCTTTGGACCGCGGGTGGACGGCCGGGCTGGCGGCGGTACTGACTTCCCAGTGCTGCGGCTGGGCCCTCCCTATAAAGGTCCCGCTGGCTGCGGGCGGGGCGGGGCCGGCGGGGCGGGGCGGGGCTCGAGGCGGTGTCGTGCAAGATGTGTGCACGGGCTGGGCCGGCCACCGGGGTGGCCGCTGAGGAGCAGCCGTGGGAGTGCAGCGCCGAAGGGGCGCGGGCGAGTCTCCGAGGCCGCGTGGCCCCGTGCAGGGTCCGCGTTAACGTGGCAGGGGTTCCAGGTGTCCCCCGAGGATCTTCAGAAGGCTGAGCTAACTGGCGACCCCTGCCCCAGAGCCTGGAGGCGGGGCCTTGTTCCACCTGCTCGCTGTTTACGGATGTCCCCCTCGTCCAGTCCCGCACGTGCGAGCGCGCGCTGCCCACCTGACCCGGACCCGCCCATCGGGGCGCAGATTCCCTGCCCGTGCCCCCAGGCCACCCACCACTGCCAGACAGTGGGTCCAGCTGCGTGCGGAGCAGTGGGCTGTTGCTGGGCACTGGGGTGTGGCAAGGAGAGACCCAGAAGCACAGACGACCTGAACCTAACGGCATCGCCAGCTGGGGGAACCCTACCGCAGGGCTTTCGAAGTCTGCTGGGCTCTGACCCCCTGGGGGGGGG